GAAAAGTGAGGTTCTAGATGCCCTATTTCAGCAGGGTCTAGACATTGCTATTGAAGGAGAGAAACCAGATGATGTTGAGGAGAAAGAATGGAAGAGGATCAATAGAATGGCATGTGGTATTATTCGATCGTGTCTTTCTAGAGAGCAGAAGTATGCATTTTTTAAGGAAACTTCTGCAAGTAAATTGTGGAAGGCACTCGAGGAGAAAGTTTTGAAGAAAAGCGGTCAGAACAAACTCTATATGAAAAAGAGATTGTACCGCTTCAACTATGTACCAGGTACCACTATGAATGATCACATTACTAGCTTTAATCAGCTGGTGACTGATCTGATGAATATGGACGTGACTTTTGAAGACGAAGATCTGGCTCTAATGTTGATGGGATCACTTCCTTATGAGTTTGAGTATCTTGAAACTACTCTACTTCATGGGAAGGTTGATGTGTCTCTCAGTGAAGTAACTGATGCCTTGTATAGTTATGAATTGAGAAAGAAAGACAAACAAGAAAACACAAGTGTCGAAGCAGAAGTTCTTATTGTTAGAGGTCGTTCGAATAGTCAGAATAAAGGAATGAGAGGGAGATCGAAGTCAAAGTCTAGATTGAGCAAAGATGAATGTGTCTTTTGTCGAGAAAAAGGGCACTAGAAGAAAGAATGTCCCAGGCTAAAGAATAAAGGCAAACCTGAAAGGGGGAAGGCTGTCTCATAATCAAATGTGGTCGAGTATGATGATGCAGATTCAGATTTCGCATTGGCTGCTACGCCATCAACTAGCTATTCCAGTTCATGGCTGTTAGATTCAGCTTGTAGCCACCATATGACCCCCAATAGAGAATGGTTCTTTGATTTTAAAGAACTAAAAGGTGGAATTGTCTACACAGCAAATAATTCCCCTCTTGACACACTTGGGATTGGTTCAATTCACTTGAGGAATCAGGATGGATCAATCAAAACCTTAACAGGTGTTCATTATCTACCAGATTTAATGAGAAATCTCATCTCTGTGGGAACCTTAGAGTTAAAAGGTTTAGAAGTGAGGGCAAAAGATGGGATTATGAGGATTATCTCTGGTGCACTAGTGATAATGAAGGGAATCCGGAAAAGAAACAATGTGTATTACTTTCTGGGTAGTACAATTGTTGGGACAGTAGCAGTGGCAGCTTCTACTGATGAACAGGAGTCAGAAGAAACCAGGTTATGGCATATGCGCTTGGGGCATGCTGGTGAAAAATCCTTGAAATTACTGATAGATCAAGGATCATTGAAGGGTGCTCGGGCTTGCAAATTAGCTTTTTGTGAGCATTGCATCAAAGGGAAGAAAACAAGGGTAAAATTTGGAACAACAATCCATGATACTAAAGGTATTTTGGATTATGTTCATTCAGATGTATGGGGGCCTTCCAAGACAACTTCATTGGGAGGAACACACTATTATGTCACCTTTGTTGATGATTTTTCCCGGAGAGTTTGGGTGTATACAATGAAGACAAATGATGAGGTGCTAGGATTTTTCCTTAAATGGAAAAAGATGGTGGAGACTCAAACAGGTAGAAAAATCAAACGTCTCCATACAGATAATGGTGGAGAGTACAAAAATGATCCATTTCTAAAAGTCTGTGAAGAAGAAGGTATTTTCAGGCACTTCACTGTGAGAAGTACACCACAACAGAATGGGGTGGCAGAGCATATGAACCAAACATTAATGGAGAAGGTTCGGTGTATGTTGTCTAATGCTGGGTTAGGCAAAGAATTTTGGGCTGAGACTTTGGTCTATGCTTGTCACCTTATCAACCGCTTACCATCGACTGCTATTGGTAGTAAAACACCATTAGAGAAATGGTTTGGAGTACCTGCTACAGATTATGATTCCTTATATGTGTTTGGTTCCACTGCATACTATCATGTTAAGGAGTCAAAGCTGGATCCAAGAGCAAAAAGGCGATCTTTATGGGGATCACCTCTGGTGTGAAAGGCTATCGTCTTTGGTGTCCAGAAACAAAGAAAATAATCTTCAGCAGGGATGTTACCTTTGATGAATCTACCATGTTGAGAAAGGTGACTTCAGAAAAATTGGAGCAGACAGATGGAACTCCCAAACATGTGGAGTTTGAAGGAAGAAAAATTGACCCAGCTAGTAAAGAAACTGATGTTGACTCTCCTATGGTAGAAGAATAGTCAGATGAAGAAGAGGTTCAGACCCAAGAACCTCCACAGCAACATGAATCAATTGCACTCAGAAAGGGAAAAGGACCATTAGACAACCTTCTCGTTATGCTGATATGGTCTCTTTTGCATCACCAATTGCAATCGATGACGTTCCTGCCACTTTTAATGAAGCAGTCCAAAGTTCAGAACATAAAAAGTGGAGGATCGTCATGAATAAAGAAATGCAATCCCTTCAAAAGAATCAGACGTGGAAACTAGCTAGTCTTCCGAAGGGAAAGAAGGTAATTGGGTGCAAGTGGGTATATACAAAGAAAGATGGATTTCCTGACAAGAATAACATCTGCTACAAAGCAAGATTGGTGGCTAAAGGCTACGCTCAAACGGAGGGAGTTGATTATAATGAAGTATTTTCTCCAGTTGTAAAACATTCCTCCATCAGAATTTTGTTGGCTTTGGTAGCACAGTTGGATTTGGAACTAGTTCAGATGGATGTAAAAACTGCATTTTTACATGGAGACTTGGATGAGGAAATATACATGACTCAGCCAGATGGATTCAAAGTTGCTGAAAAAGAAGAGATGGTGTGCAAATTAGAAAAATCGCTATAGGGATTGAAGCAATCTCCAAGACAGTGGTGCAAGCGATTTGATAAGTTTATGATAGGGCAGAAGTACACAAGAAGCAAATATGATCATTGTGTGTATTTACGCAAGCTACAAGATGGATCCTATATATATCTTCTTCTTTATGTTGATGATATGCTGATAGCTTCTAGGAGTTAGACAGAAATTGCAAAACTAAAGACTCAATTGAACAGGGAGTTTGAGATGAAGGATCTTGGTGAAGCAAAGAAGATTCTAGGCATGGAGATATCAAGGGATAAGAAATTGGGGAGGCTTTGTTTATCTCAGAAAGAATATCTGAGGAAGGTACTAAAATGTTTTGGCATGAATGAGAAGTCAAAACCAGTTAGTATACCTATTGCTCCTCATTTCAAGCTCGGTGCAATGGTGTGTACAAGACCCGATATTTCATAGGCAGTTGAGGTTATGAGTAGGTATATGCATGATCCTGGAAAGGAGCATTGGGAAGCTGTGAAATGGATTCTGCGGTATATTCTGAATACCGTAGATGTTGATTTGGTCTTTCAGCAGGACAAACAAGATGGTCAGTGTGTAGTTGGGTATTGTGATTCAGACTATGCAGGTGATTTGGACAAGCGTCGATCAACTACTGGTTATGTGTTTACTTTTGCAAAGGCACCAGTCAGTTGGAAGTCCACCTTACAGTCAACAGTGACTTTGTCTACTACAGAGGCAGAGTATATGGCAGTTACAGAGGCTGTGAAGGAGGCAATTTGGCTTCAAGGGTTGCTTGGTGAATTGGGAATGGAACAGAAGCACATCAAAATGCATTGTGACAGTCAGAGTGCTATTCATTTAGCAAAGAACCAGGTTTAGCAAGCAAGAACGAAGCACGTCGATGTTCGATATCACTTTGTACGAGAGATTCTAGAATAAGGTGGAGTCATAATCCAGAAGATTCGGACCACTGAGAATCCTGCTGATATGTTGACAAAAGTGGTAACTACGGTCAAGTTTAAACATTGTTTAGACTTGGTCAATATTGTTACAAATTGAAAGATGAATTTGCAGACACTACTGAAGATTGGATTTTTTTAGAGACGTGTGTGGAATTTGCCAAGGTGGAGATTTGTTGGTTTTTGGAAAATATCCCACATTGGTTTTGTATAAGGAGGAGGGGAAATTCTTTTGTTATAAATAGAGCCCTCCTCCTCCTCCTCCTTAGTTTAGCATCCCTCAAATATAAGTCTTCTTCTATATTAAAGGCTATTTGTATTCTTTCTTTCTCTTTGTAATATTTCCTCTATTAGTGAAATATTATTTTAGTAGTGTTCGAGGAGGTATACATAATTTTGGCCTAACCTCGTTAAATTTTGGTGTTCTCTTTATGTCTATTTAATAGCTATTGTCAGGTATAGTTGTTGTTAATTATTGTCCTATTAAAATTACTTGTCTTGGTAGTTCTATCTAAGGAAAGTGGGTTTTAAGAGGGACCATTGTGACCCCTCCTCTTTCCTGGGAATCTACCTTGGGTGATTTTTAGTACAATCGTTTTCACACTAGTCACCTAGATAGTGAATCTGTTATTGGTGGAAATTAACCCGAATTCCACAACATACAAGTCGAGCTTGAAAACTTTAAGCTTGTGAATTTTCAAGTCAAGTCGAGATCAATTTTAAATTTTGAGTTAAATTAAGCTTAATAATACTCAAACTCGACTCGTTTACTGCCCTAGACTCACAAGAGAGAATGTTTCAACGATGGAATCGCAATGATGATATTCTGAAGGGCTCTTGCTTAAGAGGAGGGTGAGTCTGCTGGAACTGTGAAATTGCATGACGTGATCCGGACCGGAATGTAGTCAATACCGATATCAGCAAAACAAGGCTCGGAGGAACCTTGCACAAGTATTCCGTTTATAACATCACCAAGTTGTCAAAGCAATAGTCGAGTTTCTCCAGTCGGAAATCCTATAATTTGAGCCAATCTCATATAGTTTCTCTGCCAGATTCCATTAGTCACCAAGTTAAGATGTATAGCAATCATGCTCTGTAAATTGGATAAAAAATTATTCACTCAACATACGGTTTGAGTCTATTCTATTCAAACTTGATCATATCTTTTAAAAGCATAAAGCTTCGTTAAGACAACAGAGACAATACATAATAAACACCAAACAAACTAGAGAGAAATTGAAGCATTATATGCTTCCCAGCACAACATATTTATTTATTTAACAAAGGACATCTGAAAGCATTGTTGGGGTCAAACTGAGATGGGTTCAATCAACAAGGAAGTGATGCCATCTTTCACTGAATCACAAACAAACGTGTAACCATCGTCGTTCTTGTAAAACAGATCAAGAACCCTTGAAAGGTTGAGAATTCGATCAAGAGCCGACGTCGGCACCGCCGTTGGTTTCAAGAACCCTTCAGTCATATCCATCCAAGCACCCTTTATTTGATTGTTTAACTCGTCGTATGCAGCTTGCACCGGTGCGCCGTATTGTTTCATGTAGCACTCGACCGCGGAAGGAGGATGTTCTCTCCCTCGCTCGAACTACAAAAGAAAAAAAAACATTGTAATAAAAAGAAGGATGGTTTTATATTAGGCCTGTAAGCATTGCAGAAAATAAATGTACCTGGTGCGTAACAACATCATCCATCAGCCTACAAATAATTGTTGAAGCTCGAAGAATCTTGGGGTCATTAAATGCCCAAATGAAAGTCTCTTTTGTAATGCCATCTTCCATGCCAACGAATGCTACAACAGTGAGCAGCTGATAAGTAGAAGTAACTAATGCAACAGACATATACTCCTCAAAAGTGGGGACGTAATTTTCATGGAGCCATTTGAACTCAGCATAGTAGGCTTCACATTGTATTTTCATCTATCAACAATCAGGAAAACAAAAATTTAACAAAAACCAACTGTTATTATTGAATAAGATTTCAGACTAAAGTATATACCGCTTCTATTGCGTACTGGATACGATATGATTTTCCTTGTTCCGACATCAAATCTTCCATTTCTTTATAAACATTCAAGAGTATGGTATAGCATTTTTTCATGTATTCCGGAAGTTGATCTATGCAGATGATATCCCACCTGCAATATGTCAAAGAGTTCAAGTGGTTAATTCTGTATAATTCAATAAAAAAAAATTGCTTCTGAAGGTGGATGTATGCTTTAAATCACCTGTTGATTGCGTTTGTAAAGAGTTCAAGTTCTTCATTTGTGCCATAGGCATCATAAATATCATCAATAAGTGATGTGAGGCATAGTACTTTGGTCATAAAAGTTCTAGCAATAGAGTAATGCGGTTCAAAGTAAACTCCATTTATCCACAAATAACATTCCACCATTCTGTCTCGTGCAAAGGGGAAATTGGTAGCAAAATCCAAACTTTTCCACCACCTGAAATACGATAAAAAAAGAAAGGAAATTATGTTGATAAACATATGTTATTAGTAGACTTGTTTATATGTTATTACCTGCTTATCTCTTTTATCTCCTTCTTGTGCAAATGTTGCAGTATTTTGAAGTCTAACTTTGCAAATTTCAATAAGTTTTGGTCATGGTTTCCATATGCTTCATATATGGGGATATAGCTGCTAGCAACCAGCCTCGGCAAGCTCTTGCGAAGGGATCGGTTTAGAGCACCGGCGATCTCTGCCGAGAGAGGATAGTCGACCTTTGGTTCTGCCAACTTTAGCTGCAATTTAGTGAATGAAAGAGCTTCTTCTAGTATATCCTCTCCATGCACTTGAAAATTTGCAGCTTCGTTCAATTCGAGCATGCCTTTCACATCACTGATTAAGGATTCTTTGAACTTCCCGTTCTCATCTTTGAACTTGTTGAATGTATCTACTTAATCAGCAAACAAGTTTAAGGAAGTGGGTTATATACATGTATAATAGAAATCTTTGTAGGAAATCAAGGCATACCGCAATGGACATCGAAGCCGTGCTCTCTTAGCAGACGGAATCGAACAGCAGTAGTGCAGAGATCATCGTCGACCTGAACATGACTACAATGATGATCATGTATGATTTGTAAGGCTTCTTCTATCTCTTTCTCGAAATGGTAAGCCACACCAAAGCGCTGGACTGCATCAATTACGTGCACCTTTTGTGATGGCTTAGCAATATTAGTCACCAGCATTCTCCTCACTTTTTCCTTCAATTCTTCGTACCCAAGTTGAGTTATAGCATCCATATCCTGTTCAAGTTCGATAAGCTCTAGATTCATTCTAAGGAACTGCTTCGAAACAACATAAACACGAGTTTTTCGAACGTACGTACCATTTCAACAGGAGAAGAGAGGAAAATGTCCCCCCACAGGCCGGGATCGAAGTCGGCAAGACGCCGGTTTTCCTTGGACATGTTATCTTGATTTAGAACAAGATTTGCAGAAACTTGAGCAGACATTTTATTTAGTGTGCTGAAAATTAAAAGCTCTGTGTTTTGAATGACCCAAACGCTTAGGTTGCATATATTTATAGGCACCTCCATTGGTTTTTGTGTGATTTTTTATTGTCCATCGTCAATTATGTTAGATTCAAAGAATGGTTTTGATGAAAAGTTTATTAAATAAAAGATATTGTTTTGAAATTATTCAAATGATCTCCATCTACTATTGGCAATGCATCATCTTATTGATTTTTTTTTATAACCAATTGTATCAAATTTATTAATTGATTAATCCGGATCGAATACTTAGATATGATGACGACTCTCCCAACCCAATTTGAAATTGGAAAATAACAAAAACGAGATCAACATAGAATAATACATGCGTAAAAGACGAGATTAAATATAGTTCGGCTTTATATATCTCTATAGGTGAACAACAATCCACAATAGATTTAGAGATCACTAAAAGCACAAACACATAATATCACATGTATACTAAAATTTAATATCTATACCAAAACCCGGAATATCCTAAATTATTTGCTCAACATCCCTATAAAACTCATCTCTACAACATAAATCTCAAAAGTAATAGAGGCTACAAAAAAATTACCTATCTCTAGAATAATTCTCTCATTATTCTAAACATAAAGACATATTCTCTATTTATAGAGCCAAATACTTGATCACTAAGAATTATTATTCCATTAAAATTTAATCAATGATTATTATGAAGTGGTCCTTGAGTTTATTGATATTTACTTAATAAAATTCGTGTAAAATTTTCCTTATTAGACTACCACTAACCTTTTTTGCCGCTATCATTTCTTTAAATTTTAATAAAGAATTAATTACTGATAAATCATTATACTTCTTAATATTTTTAATAAAAATAATTTAATTAATAATATGTATCGTTATGTCATATTAATGGTTTGTTTCCGTAATCATTAATCCTTGAGCACATGAAACTTGCCATTAAAATCGCACTAATCTTGGTTTCTGCTTTTGGCTAATCATAAGTACACATTTATACATAAATATATGCACTAGATTTTTGGGTCGATTTGTTCATGGTTAAATCAGGTATTGGTGGGATCTAAATATGGACCCGAATCCCGTTCCACCTAACCCAACTGACCATTCTTTTTTCATACAATCCAAGCTTCCATTACATTCTACACTAAATAATTATTTAATTAAATATAAATTTACATTATTTAATTTGAATTGAGCACCCCAAGATTTTAATTATTTAATTTGAATTGAGCACCCCAAGATTTTAATTATTTAATTTGAATTGAGCATCCCAAGATTTTAATTATTTTGTCCACCCTGATCCCGATCATATCTTTTGATATTTTGTTGGTATTTAGTGCATAATGACGTAATAATTGCACCGTCCAATCATATTTCTCAACTCAATAATGGATTGGTAAACTTATCCTTCGCAAATTACATTAATTTATATTCTTTTTTTAATAAAATAGTATTAATAAAAATGGAAAACATCAAAGAATGATTCGCAAGAGGATAAAACACGTCTCAAATAAAATTAGTGTGTTTTTATATAAAAAAACACTAATTTTATTCAAAATAAGAAATATCCTAAACTACAATAAAATTTACAATCATAATCGTAAATTAAACATATAATTAAGATAATTTCTTATAATCATCGTAAAAACACTAGCAACTTATATCACATAAGGGGAAAGATTAAAATCTAACAAAAAAACTCGAACAAAGATTGATATAAATAAATTTGATCGCATCGGCAAACAAACTACAAAAGGAGATCAAGTTACTAAAAGACCAGCGACAAATTGCAATTCATACTCGAGTGACATGAAAAAAATATCACGAACGCATAACGAGTATCCAAATGCAATCTGAGGGACCAAAGCAGGAAAGATCAACAATATAATAGATAAGCGTCATCTTGATCAGTCGTGACGGTGTCTAATAAACCCTTAAAAAAGATAAGTGAAAACAACGGTCAAAGGCATAAGAAAACATATCATAAAGACAGATGAAAACGTGCTATAAAGACATATGAAAACGTGTCATATAAACAGATTTATTGAAAATAAAAAAATAAAGATGTAACATAAAAAATAAAAGGACAATAAAGAATATCGACAATCTGTAATCAACATTAAAGTTGGTGTCGTCACTAATCAACAAAGAAAAAAAGAAAAAAAAATAGATGAACGACATACCAATGAGAGAAATTAGGAGAGAATTTTCAAAAAAAGAGTTTAAAATTAAAATAAATAAATATTTTATATCATTGATGGACCGGTTAAAGATAATCGTTTTTCTTAAAAATTTTAAATTTATATATTTATATATATTTTGTATTTTTTATTAATAATATTTTGATCTCTTTAAAATTTTATAAGTTTATTTTTTTTAAATATTATAAAGTTATCGCTTAATAGAGAATCATACGTACATTATTGATTTACACAATATATATTAAATAATAATCTATATATTCTTCTGATCCTCTCACAATTTAGATGTGAAAAAGGTTTATATATAAATATATATCTTGTATTCTTGTATTAACCATTTTTATCCATGTACAAACCACCCCAACAGGAAAACTCTAGGATTTTCATATTCCTATCCGTCACCGCTTTTTATAGGCCGTTGGATCTATTAATGATCGATTTTTTATAGGCCGTTGGATCTGTTAATGTTCGAACGATTAAGATTATACATTAAATTTAAAACGTCTCCGGCCATTACTGCGATAGCCATGATCATTTTTCATAAAGTCCATGCAATGAGCTTCCAGTTATGTTCATGCTTTTAAGAAAGGTCCATGGTCACTTTTCATAGAGTTCTTCGTGCCATCAAGTGTGTCGTAACTATGATTGTAAATGAGATGAGATAAATTACGAGTTATTTTAAATTGATTTGAGTAAAGTTTGATCAACTTTTGAATCGAATGAATTTAACTCGAACTTGAACTCGATTCATATTCTTAATGAACCGAATTAAGATACTTCTTATCGAACTCGAAAAGCTCACAAGTAATTCAAAAGAATAATATATTAAAATTTTAAATTTTTTAAATTAAATTATTAATAATATTAACATTTATGTATTCTTTAAAAAAAATAAAATATAAAGCTTTCATGTATTTAAGGTTTATGTTAAAACTTGAGTTTATCAATAGAGTTAAATTTGAGAATATCTTAAGCTCAAGTCTTTTCGAGCTCGAGTCAAGTTTTAATTATTTATTTTTAATCAAACTTGAAAATTTTGAACTCGCTAGTTGTCAAGTTGAGTTGAGCTTCAATTTTTCATTACGAGTATAAGTCGAGTTTGAAAATTTTAAGTTTGTGAATTTTCAAGTCGATATCAATTTTATATTTTTCGAGTTAAATTAAATTTAACAATACTCAAACTCAAGTAAATTCGACTCGTTTACAGCCCTAGAGTCACAAGAGAGAATGTTTCAACGATGGAATCGCAATGATGAAACTTAGAAGGTTTATTGCTTATTAGAAGAGGGTGAGTCTGCTGGAACTGTGAAATTGCATGATGTGGTCCGGACCGGAATGTAGTCAATACCGATATCGACAAAACAAGGCTCGGAGGAACCTTGCACAAGTATTCCGTTTACGAACATCACCAAGTCGCCGAAGCAATCGTCGAGTTTCTCCAGTCGGAAATCCTATTAACAAAATCAATGACAATCTATTTACTACTTAGAAAAGTTAAGAGTCCATAATTTGAGCCAATCTCATTTAATTTCTCTGCCAGGTTCCATTAGTCAGCTATGCGAGCTTCCAGCTCTTCTACTAAGAGACTTGTCGTCTAGAGAAAATCCCACCAGTCGGAGCTCTCTATAAACTCCAGGTGACGGATCTCTCGGGCGCTCGAGTAAGAGTACTACCAAACGGGACAAGTAAGCTGGATAAGCTACAAGAACTACATTTGTCCTCGTATGCACCATCTAGAAACCATCGAAGCCGGTACGATTTCCGGGTTGCAAATCCTGGAGTTATCAGAGTTAAATATATTTTGGCAAGTGCGAACATAATATATTCATATTCGACACGGACCGAAATTTTTACTTGGATAATTGCAACTTGATCAAACCCTAAACTGAATGGCAACAAATAAACTTTATAAATTAATAGAATAGAAGAGAGTCGGAGTTGTAATTCTATTACTTACACATCACAACTATTGGGAAATTCATTGACTGTAATTTACAGAGTTAAATATACGAAAAACCCAACATAGTATTAAGCAATTCGCTTCACAGTCAAAAGCAACCTTCTGTCCCTTGTTTACATTGCTAAACATGGTATTAAACATTGTTAATCAGGCCACTGGAGAATCAAATGATTAAAAATGCACACCTGAAAAAGGAGATTGAGCCCAAACTTCAGTTCATGATCATGATCGTAATCTCCAGAAAGCTTGTTATCTGATCAATTTAACTAGAAGCACAAGGAAAAAGAGGGACAGAAATTATATAGATGAAACGTATCATTATTCAGCCAACAGAATTACGAAAAAGGTATGGTTTGACACCTTGTGCAGAGCTTTATCGAGCCATTAAATTAATCAAAAGGAAAGTGATAACACATTAAAATGACAAGGAATAACGAACATCTTGGTACAGGTGAAACTCGTGATTTTTAGATTAGCCGAGTTATCTCCTTGAGGTTTAAGCAAAAGCTTGTTCCAGTTAAGATTATATGTTTGGGAACATTTAAGGTAACACTTAACAAATAATTTAAACTAAAAGAAATATGATTACCTCTAATCGTACTCATCACCTTCATCTTCTTCAGAATGATTCCCCATCTGGAGTTCTTCACTGTTATTATTTACAAACTTGAGTTGAGCTTCCGTTCTTGAGTTCTCACTATTATTTACAATCTCAAGCTGAGCGTTGGTTTCAGGGCTGACACTTTTATTTACAAAACTTTTGGTTCCTAAAGGCATCTGTGGACCATCTAATCTAGTTTCTTCGATGTTGTTTTGAAATTCAGCAACTGTAGCACCATTTCCGGTCATGGAACTAAGAGAGCC